GGTGCGTTTCTATAAGTCTTCCTACCATTATGACCAAGTTGCAAAAACAAGGTCAAACAACTTCTATAATGTCAAACTGTTGAAGCATTGCCCAGGCGGGCCTAATGAAAAGTTGCAAGACGAAGACTTCTTATCTTCCGTCTGTTACATTATGATTATGCTGGGATATTCAAGTTAATGAAATTCTATTAGATTTTTGTTTGTCATATCAAAAACATTACAATATCTGAATATCATTCTTGTAATAAACCAAAGCCGATATCCAATTTAGAAATTAACAAACATCTCTTAGTGCTGTATATACTTCAATGAAGTTAATTTCAGGATACATAATAATATTTTAGATTAGGTTATCCACCTATACATATATATATCCTCGGAACTACCGCATGCGCTTTAGCACTCGTACATACACGCGAGGATAAATGTAAAGAGATGGAAATGAAGATAAACTAATTAAATCACTATATACCTTCCGAAATTCATTTCGGTGGGGCATACACGGCTTGCAGTGAAGTGGCAGAAAGTTTTTTTGAATCAGTGTTATTTTTGAGCTTGGATAGGAATGAGATCCAGCTTTGATGGTGTCTGCCAAGTGACATGACAGCAAGTCATTAGCAGAACAGAAGTATTATTTCATTTTTAAAACAAATTATGTTTAGATCGCCTCTGGGTTAAATAAATCGTGTGAGCGAGAACTAGATCGAACCAAAATGTATTATTTTTCTCTTATAACCAGGGTTTATAGAACACAAGTAGATTATATATATTCAATGGAGACATAAGGCCTACTCACATAATTATGGGAAAATTCGTCCACAAGACCGCTTTAAACAAAATAGGGTGAATACATCACAATAACTGTATTAATCTGCTAAGAACAAGTATTTAATTCATTTAGTGAAAGTTACAAATACAGTAACATCAAGTTACTAGGAGTAAATCCCTTAGGGCATAAGGAAAGATGATTTCTTCAATGTATTTCAAAGAGACATCATGATATCATTTAGTATCATAGATTAAAACAGCTAGATGCGTAGAGTAGAACTTTCTTGACGATTTTATTAATTTTCAGGGTTTTTTATTTTGTCGAACTAATTCTTTCAACCCTTCTAGTAACTATAAATAAGGAGCATAGGAAGAAAACACATAAAATTCAGTTAGCAATATACGACTCATAAATAATAAAGCAAATTTTTGGCTGAATATGGATAAGTGTAATACAAAGGCCATAATGGAATTGTAAGACCACAGCAATCAAATTTAACAAGTTGATATGCGTACTGCATATACTCTTACATAGCTAAGTACGTGGTATTATAGTATAAAAAACTGTCAAACACGTATAAAGTAGTAAGGCTAAGATAGACAAAGCCTGAGCCATAGTCTATTGCATTTTAATTAATAATAACGTTTTTTTTAAAAATTATGATTAATATAATATATTTTAAAAATATTTAAAGTATATAACTGCGAAAAAGAACTTAAACAGAAATATGTATATAATTGAGCAAGATTAAAAAAGCCATATCTCTTACCTGTTGAATGGCCGTCTGATCAAGCTGGCCGGTGTGAGAGGAAATATTCTGAAG